GTGTGGTGGTGCACACCTTTAATCCCAGCACTTTTTCCACTGTAGATACCTCCATACAAAAAACTGATGGTGATAGCATTGAAATTACATTTTGGCCTGTTTCCTTTCACAGCAATGCTGTCAGACAACTCTATTTAAAGAGCTTTAATAACTTAAAAATAATACTCTGGTTTAGGAGCTGGACTGTAGCTCAGTTGGTAGAGTGCTTGCCCTGCATTCAGGAGGCTGTAGGTTTGATCTCTGACACTGCGAAAAGTATGTGTGGTGGTTTAGGCTTATAATTTCAGGACTCAGGGGGTGTAGGTAGGAAGATCAAGAGCTCAAGGTCATCTTTGGCTATATTAAGAGTTGAGGCCAGTCTGAACTACAAAAAAATTCTGGCATACAATTTGTGTTAAACTAAGGACTATTTTAGATTGTGCTGGTAACTCTCTAGGTCCAAGATATTTCATGAAAAAATAATTCTGGTTTACTAGCAGATATTACTTAGACAAATACTTAAGCTTTCTAAATCTCAAGTTTCCTCGTTTGTAAAATAGGGATAATTATTCCTTATTCAGAGAATAAGGAATGTGTTGCAGAACCTCTCAAAGTAACTAATATGTTTTGACTTAAAAAAAAGTTTTATTAGAAAACTAGAAAATTTGTAATATAAAAAGTAGTTACCAAGAACAATAAAGGTATTATCTCATTCAACATATCTATCAAATCAGTGTCTGGTCATGCCCAATTCCCACTGCACTACTGGTATATGGCATCAAACAGGAAGTCCAACTCTCACAGTCACTGCCTTGACCTCTTTCTGGAAGTGTCACTTTGGCTTTTGTATTGCTTGTCAGCCTACTACCATACTCATGGACAGACTCCTTGACTTTTCTTTATCCTTGGCTCTTGGTTGCTGCAGACTGTCATTTCTTGATGGGACAATATTAATAATGTGTTTTCTATATTTTCTTGTAGTTCCATAAGCAATCTTTGACCCAAACACCAGGGCGAGAACCTTCTACTCCCCGGGCCCAGAAGAGAACTCGTTCACGGTCCTTCAGTGGGCTTATTAAGGTAAGCATGCTGTGTTCTCGTGCTCAACATTGATTCTAAGGAAATTTAAGTCCTACTTTTCCTGTGCATAAACAGTTTAATTCCTTGGGAATCCTATAAAGGGTTAATTTGTAAGGGGATAGAGTTTGGAAAGGGTTTTATTTTCCAAAGCATTTTATTGTATTACAAATTAGAGAAGGGACTCTATGTCGTAAAAGAAATAATGGTTTTTCCTTCCCATCTGAGTCTAAGAGAATCTTCATTCCTGTGCAGTGTGAAGAGTCTCTCTTGCTTCTTGCCCACTTCACACTGCATACTTCTTTATGCAGTTTGCTAGATCTGTGAAGTGAGAAAGTTGAGAGATATGGAAATTGTTGGACAAATAGATTTTCCAATAGCCTGTTGAATTTTAGTAGCACAGATTTTGGAGAACTTCATGTTTTTATTGTTGCTTATTCTCTTATTGTGTATCAAAATTATTAGAAATTTTGTTTTTAGAACGAATAGAAAGTATGTTTCTGTGCTGTTGCTGTCATTGTGTGTGCAGATTCAGTTTCCAAGCCTCCAGATGTCTATGCTTGCATGCAGTTAGAGAATATTGCCATCAGGTGGCAGTAGGTAACTTGGTTATGGGATTCACATTTCAATGCCACAACTAAGGCAAGAGCCTGGGTTACCTCAGAGAGAGATTAGCCTTATGCTGAGTTCTGTTTTTCTTTTTTAAAATTGTCTTTAATAGTATTAAGGTATGTAAATCTTGCAATATTAAGGTACCCTTTGACTAAACTTGAAAAAAAATTGCTCTAACAAATGTGAACCTTGCATTGCTATAGTACCAGCTGGCCTGGAACTCACTATGTAGACCAGGCTGGCCTTGAACTCCCAGTGAGTTTGGGGGGGTTATTTTTAGGAGCATGGGTAACTGAAAAGCAGCCGTATCACTGAAAAGTCCTCAGGGCCCTTTTAAAAAAATTTATTTTTTTTGAGAGAGGGTCCCTTGTATTTATCATTTTTATTGTTATTATTATTTTGCATTTATTTATTTATTTAGTGTGTCTTGGTGGGGGCCATTTCTCTTCTTGCACCATGTGGGCTCTGGGGATCAAACACAGGTCATCATGCTTGGCAGCAGGTGCTCTTACCTGCTGAATGATCTCACCAGCTCTATTATAACTTTTTTGAGACAGAGTCTCACTATGTAGCTCAGGCTGGCTTTGAGCTCACAGTCTTGCTTTGACTTCCTGAGTTGCTAGGATTATTGGTGTGTACTATTATATTCAGCTAGGTCCCTTTAAATATATACTTTACTCCTTTCTCTCCTTTTTATCCCCCCAGACATTGCCAATTTGTTTGCATGAGTAATTTCTTTTTCTTTCTTTCTCTCTTTTTTTTTCTTCAAGATAGGGTCTCACTATGTATTACTGTTTGGGCCTGGAACTTACTACGTAGATCAGGCTGGCCTGGAACTCACAGAGATGTGCCTGTCTCCCCCTCCCAAGTGGTGAGATTAAAGGTATTGCTACCACTCCTGGCTTGAATAAATTTTAAAATTTAAATTTATTTATTTATAGAAAGAGTCACATGTAGTCCAGGCTAGCTTGGAACTCACTCAAGGCCTGGTTTGGTCTTGAACTTTCAAATATTCTGCCTGCCTGCACTGGGTGTTGTTGTTGCCTGCCTTAGTGGTGCCTGCCTTAGTAGGCTAGCTACTTGAGGACTCTCTGTTGGGGGCGGGGGATGAGTAGGCGCCAAGTCAATGACGCAGACTTCAGGAGACTCACTCGGCAGTTAGCAAGCAAGCTTGTTTATTGTGCCGACAGTGCTTTCTTTTATACCCCCCGACCTGATCCTCATTGGTTCATTTGGCTATGTGTCTCTTCATTGGTGTGCACACTGTCCTCTGTTTGTGTCATTTGATATTGTGCTTTATGGCAGGTTTTAGGTTAGCCTGAATAACAGAAGTATTTACCGGCCCATTTCCCCACATATCCATCCTTTTTATTTTATTTTAGACAGCCCAGTGGGAGCTGGAATGCCTTGTCCCAACCTTGTTGGCCCCACCTCGTGGGTGCTCCAGCATTTTGGACTGTTCCTGTCTTAGGTTGGCCTACTCAGTAGGTCCTTACCCGTCGTTGAATATCAACCCTCAAA